TTACACGCTGCGATTTGTCGGGCCGATTTTGTCAAATAAGCGTTGCCCCTTCTTCGACATTTAGCGATTTAAACGCTCAATCGAAGCTGTCCGCTCTCTCGTCTGTTTATATTATAGTTTTCTGCGTGCGAAAAGTTTTCAACAACTTTACAACGAAAGAAAAATCGTTGAATCGTGAGAAAAATCTGTGCTTTGTTACAGATTTTTCTCCCGATTTTGTGAATCGCAAGGCGCTGACGCGAGTACTCACGACAGGTTATTTACATACAGCAAGCAAAATCGGCCCGACAAATCGCAGCGTGTAAACGTACCTTTACACAACGTATTTTTTGAAAATTACTTCGCCAATGAACTTACTACATCGATGGTTTTTGAAGCAATTTAAAATACTCGTTGTCCTGTTTTATCAGACATAAAACGCTCGGCTGCGCCTCGCGTTTCATATCTGATAAAACACTCCTACTCGTGTTTTAAATACTGTACAGCATTTCTACCCTAAAGGCCAATTTACACTACACAACCTTCGCCTAAAACTGTCGCATGCAACCTGCTTACAACTTGAGTTGTACTGTGTAAGTCTCAAGCAAACAACTCGTGTACGTTGTCTTATAGGGAAAGGCCCACACAGACCGAACGCGATTCGACAACGCGACGCGAATTTTCAGTTTTTAAAAACAAATAAAACCGCCAACGGATAAAAATTTTACAAGATACGCAGACCAAATAGCTAAAATTGCTTTAGTGGTTCCGAATATTTGAAAAACATAGAAAAATATGAAAGTTAAATGTCATTGAAAATTGAAAATTCGCGTCGTGTTGCCGGCACTGAATCGCGTCCGATCTGTATGGGCCTTAATGTAAATCGGTCTTCATCAGACAATGAGGGTGACGATGTATACATTTTCCTTGAGCAATCCAGTACTCTGTTCTTGTTCAAACTACAAGCTAAGTCATTTACAAAAATAGCTTTGGATTGATGGGGATACTGACTACATGAAAAATACCACTGTGAAAATACGGCCCTTCGTCGCCGGGGAAGTTTTTGGTGACTTTTAACTCGACGGCTCGAAACGTCGAAGTTCTCCTTGTATTTTCAGCTAGTTTCATCCCTGCTAGTTTCATCCCTGTTGACCTACACTGGCACAGACAAAGCAAGTTATTGATATCATTTCCACATCTCAACACCTATAATACCCTTTGGGGTATGCATGATTACCATTTAAAAGGCAAGTGAACTCTACACCTGTCGTGATTCCTACTATTATTACGCAAATATGAAAAATGTGTACGTTCCGTTATCCAAATTCCGAATAAAGGACATAAGCAGTATTCTCTAGGAGTCTCCTTCACATTTAATTTGCACTCAAAATTAATCGCTCTCATTAAGCCATGATTCGATTAAGCCCCCACTACTTAGCATAATTTTCGTTTAATTATCGGCTTTATTGCACGGTTTAATTCCCATATAAGAAAATATTGCAATTGGGCATATTTGACCTTGAATTAGGATGCGCAAAGCTTCCTGGCGCGATAATAATATTTTGAGTACGTATGTGCTTAGGTATCACGTCGCGCGCAATTTATGCGAGTCTGAGTGGCCAAACGATTTGCGCCCCAGACACACTTCTTTCGAATAATTGCGGCATTTTGAAGTCTTGAGAGATGCGCGCTACATTTGCGCGCGCGCCCTTTAATATAGCGCACAGCTTCAGCAGTAATTTTTAGCTGCCAAATGACAAAGTCGCATGTAGGAAATCGCTTTTTCAATATACAAATGCGCTTATGAACATATCATGAGAGCGATTTTAGTATTTAGTTTAGAATAACAACACTATCTAGTCACTATCTTAGGCTATTTAGGCTTATCGTTTTAAATGCCGTAAATCTTAAATAATATGCAAGTTTTTTCCGGCTTTGCGTTGAAATAATTTCAGAGTGTGTAGTTAAATTTTGACTTAACTTTTTAGAAGTTTATTTTACGTCATTGTAATAACAACGTTATATGGATTAGTTTGCGCAAATTCCAAGATTTTGTCGACAACTCAATCGATTGGATAATATTTGAAGGGTTTGTATGTAGATAAAAATTTTCGAGTGTAAAATTTGCGCAAATTATTCCCCAACAAGTTGTCTTGGTTGGAATCTGATTATCCGATTAAAAACACATCGAATTTTCGAACGAGGGCTGTTCGTCAAGAAACTATTTATAATTATACCCAAAGTCAAAGTGGTACAAATTTTAATTATTCATATAGTGTACAGTACGGTTTTTGTAGGGGGCTTTTAATTAAAGCCTGAAAGAGTTCAGTGAAGGCCACTAGTTTTTAAAATCTCGCTGGTTTTACTGTTGAACAAAGGAGCTTAATAAGCCCGGATGAAACTGGAGATTGAGAGTTGACAGAATCACGCTACATGCATTGGCTAGCTGTTCTTAATGCTTCCCACATTATCATGTATTCTATTTAAGTTAAAACATAGATGGAACCGTCACCAAACCTTTATAGTTTGTTAAGTCTAGAGCTTGAAATGTCCGCCGTAACAATGCGTGACTTTGACGGGGCCTTAGTTTTAGTTTCAAAGAAACTTATTCTTTCTTTCTAAGACAAAGTATTATCGTGCGCACATGGCCTCATGATCGCCGTAGGGCAATAGCTGCCAAGAAAAATATTTTGCTCGAATTGAGCCCAAAGAACTTGCCCTTAAAAACTTGCCAAGGAAACCTAGCTCAGCATCGCTATTGCCTGGAGCCAAGATGTCGGAAAGTTTTAGGCGTCCTTAGCAATCAGTGTATGTCGAAACTGTGTCTGTGCTGCTAGAAAATCGTATTAGTGCTAAGTATCTAAAGTCCGGAAGCGAAGCATGTTTACAAGTATGTACTAATTGCCGATCTCCTGTCTGTCCGCGAGGGAGAGACAAATGATTTAATTTTCTGTTTGTTCTCAATTCTCTCTTAAAAACCATTATATGTAATGTAACTTCATTAATGGCTTGCGAAAGCGACGCACGCATAAATTACCTTAATAGAAGTTTAAAGATTAGCGCGCGTCCGGTACAAGTTTGTACGTTTTGTTTACATTTATCGTTTGTGTGTCAAATTCTGTCTGCTGCGTCTGACTGAAGCGCTATAATAGTTGAAAATGGATTTAAATTTGAATAATTTGTTGGAGAAATGAATCAGCGTTATAGCACTCCCTACAGTGAAGCACGCAACAGATTCGATTGCGTTTATTGCTCGAATTACTTCCCTTTTTACTTGGCATTTGGGAATGTATATTCCCAGCTTGTTAACTGACCTGCTACGCAAGCTAAGCTTCTTACGACAAGCTTTACTAGGAAGCACAAAATAGCTTCCTAGGAGAGTAAAAAGCTATCACAATTTACAACTTGGGAGATAATTGCGCAAATTATACTTTGAGATTTAATTGTCTTTGGACTCAGTAACTCTTACGATTCTCTTTGCTTTTTAAAGAGCATAATCGCCTCTTGTTTTGAAAGACAGTTTTTGGGAGGCTTTCGCGCCTTTCAGCGTAAAACCAAAGTTGTTCAAATAAAAATTTGGGCAAGCACGTTGTTGGCGCCAAAAGCTATTCCCTGACATTGTATTTGCGCCACATTATCGTGCTAATAGAAGCCTTTATTGATAAACGGATTAAGCGATTCTTAATAGGCGTAACTTGAATTTGATGTGTGTTTGAAATCACTTTATGTTTTCGCCCTAGGACGGGCGGTTTCGCCGCAAAGGCGTCAGACCGCGGATTGCACACATAGACCCATCGCATTGCGAATTGTTTCCGGTTTCCGCCGTTGAGGTACTCGGCTAATCAGCATGCCCTCACAAAATATATTTACTCGTGGGTGTATCCGAAATACAGGAAAGTAGGATGATTAGCTCGGAGTTCGCTTACTATTTAAAAGCAGAACAATTATTCACGAGTGATATACGACTTACACCAGACGAGAGACCAGCCGCACAGATATTATACTCAATACCAAGACACTATATTCATAAACCAAGAATGCCTAAGGTAACTATTTATTTTTAATGCGTAAATATAGCCTGTCCTACAGTGTTTCTGGCTGAATTCGTTACTTTGAAACACGCATTGGTGTTTTGAAACTGTCTAGCAATTTGAACTAATTCGAAACGAGACGGCCGTTTGTTTTTTTAGCCATCTTTTCATGACGTCGAAAATGACTTTAGAATTCTTTTGAATGATTATCTGTTTTTGGGATGTCTGAAATGCGATCCGAAAAGATCTTAAACTTACACATCCCAACCGATAATTCTACATCCTATACTTTATCACTTAGCCATTGTAAACAGATTTCAACCACTCGAAGTAGACTAAAGTGCTTTGATAGTTTGTTAGTTAATCCAACGTCGCGATATTTTGAATATTTTCTCTGATCTCTGATGAAAATAATAGTTGTATAAAGTTGTATGTAAACATGGTAATCCCATCACGTGGCCATTCATTGTAGCTTTGGCGAACTTTTACATCGATATACAGTATATTTTGCTCCCTTGGGATTTCTGTACATTTGTTCTTGAATTCGATTTGATAAAAATCGACACGTGGAAGTGTTATCGAAATTCTTCCATTTTAAAACCACGATTTCGTTTGTGCGTAGAGTTTACCGACTTGACCTCTAGAAGACAGCGAGGAATGCGAAGTATTCGCTTGTAATTTGATGAAAAATTCATTTAGTATCTCGAATAGATTCACTCCCAGGGGCATAAGGGCTTTTAAAGTTGTTTAAATGGTCATTAGAGAATAGCCTCATTTCCTTTCTCGAAGTGATTTCTGATGGCCAGACGTGTGGCCACTTTGCCGACCATGCTTGAGCGAAAATTTTTTCTTTTTTGACCCGGCATACTGATCCGTCGGCACTTGTCATTTTCCTTGTCAAATAGAGCTATACTAATCACTAGTTAAGCTGCCTGAAAGTGTTTTGTTGGCCTTGTGTAATCCCAAAAACGTTCTAAATCGTTTCAAAACAAATTTATTCAAGACGCAGATTTTTAGTGAACACGTCACGCAACGCCGGTCAAATTTGACTGCGAATCACACTTTGAGATCAAACAAGGGAACATATTCAAATTGAAAAGAGGTTGTATGTAATCAGTATTGAATAAATGTAAATCGTGCCTTCTTTCGCAAACACGGCTAGGCTTGCATATCACATGCGACTTCGTTCGAGTCACCCAGCTATTTGCTACATGCGAGAACATTGGTTGTCTTGGGGAGTTTTGTCCGTACGAAATTAGCTCGAGAGTCCTTCGTGTTAATGGAGTGTCATCGAGTGATCGGATGTTGCCCCCGTGGTATATATAAAGCCCGACAAGTTGTACTCGTACAATGCTAGGAAGAGAGCAGCGCTTTGTGAGTTTACTTCAAATGCTTTGAAGCGAAAGTCTGCCCGCTAGGAATATACTTAATCTATGCCGCTACTTCAGTGTCAGTGGCCCTTGCAATAGCTTTGCATAAGTTTAGCCTTTGTTTTCCAATGATTATTCCACAATATTTCAGTGATTTCTTGTTCTTTTTTAGGTGTTGTGCATATTTGGAGTTGTTCTGGTGTGTTTGCACACATTTACTGTTGTTAAAACAAGCCCAGCAAGCCGCAAAGCATCAACTAGTTTACAACGTCTGAAAAGAAATCTCACAATTCTAGCGAGAGCTTTCAACGTAACACAAAAATTTGCGGACCCTCCTAAGCAAAGTAAATTTGGAAATCACTGTTCGAAAGACAAACTCGCCTCCGTCTTAGATCCATATTTAATAAAGGCTGTTGCGACTAATACTCGAAGTATTAGGCTTTTTTCAAAGAACAATTATTTCCTTCAAATAACGAACGATGGATTCGTAAACGGGACACGAAACGAGAAACTGCCAACCGGTAAGTCAACTGTAGCTTCGTTTTTTGTCAAACTTTGGAGGAAACTGCCGATCTTTTTAACCGTTGTTCGAGATGAAGGCTTCCTTGACCTTCACACATGTTGTTCGTTCATTTTGTTTTGATCACATTATTATAATATAGTATAGAAAACACGAATTGTTTACTTCTCGTGACTCGCTAAATCGGATTAAAGAGCTCCTGGATTATGAAATGGCTCATTCAACTGTTCTTAGTATTTATTTATGATATTTACTTTGCCATAGGTGTAAACGATTGCTCGAAGTCGAAGAACAATTACGCTTCTGTTTCTTTCCTTCCCATTTGCGACAAATGGCGCGGAAATTTCGACATGTCATTGGCACTACAAAAGCCTGCACAATAGTGAATAGGTCGGAAGAGGCAATTGAAAAGCTATAAGACACTTCTAAAGAAACCTTGTAGCTATTTATAAAGCCTGACTTAGCGCAGGAAATTGTTTTTCTTTCGTTCGTGTCCCTGCGAGATTTTAATAGTACAGAGCGAAGGTGTCGCGCCATTTTAATTTTTAACGTGTTTTGAATTCTGCTCGTGAAAAAGAATTTCTGTTTCTCACGGCAAGTTACATTCGTGTTTACCTAACCTGTGTCCTCTCGTTTTGAAAGACGCGTGTAAAAGTATTTCTTTGATATTGTATGTTTCCATTTGCAAGAGATTTCTTTCAAGCGACCCTTCGGAGGGGTCGAAAAACACGCTTGATTACTGTGAATTGAAGGTTATGAAACGGACTTCTGTCGGCCATAAAGTAGCTACAAATCATCTTTTGACATTTACAGGTTTTTGTATTTACATTAATTACAAACGAAATGAATGCCAAAATGCCATCCTGCTTTCATCTTGTGGGCGTTATATTTACTCCAAACATGTGTCGCTGTCAAGACAATCCCACACTTCGATAAAATTGAAATCTTGTCATCAAAATTCTGAAGTCTTCTGTATTCTTGTTTGCCTGCGACTTTTTAAAATGCAATTGAAGAGTTGTTGCATCCGTTTTTGCCGATTTTACGAAGTGATGGACCAGCAAATGAACATTTTGAATACATTGAGTTCTTGCCAAGTTCTTTATACTTTGATTGGTTTCGTTGCCACGGTTTCGAAATGGGAAGAAAAGCTTTTACAAGTGAAAAAACTCGTTGGATATTGGTTGAAAACTTCCATGAATTTTCCCATGTTCTTGCGAATACCCCCAAGAACGTAACTTTATAAAAAGAATGTCGAAATTTGATTCATTTGGCTTTACTTGTATTGTTCCGGACTCATCTATTTTTGGTTGTGTTTAATGTCATTCAGTTTCGACTGTGAGTCTTTCCCGACTTCATTCTGAACAAACATTCCTTGAGCCAATTTAGTACGGCGGTGAGATGAAACGAAACAGGCTTAGAAATATTATTAGGTGTCAGACATTGTCTTTTTCTATTTGGCTTCATCATTTTTGTAATATATGAGATATTTGTAACGTGCAGAAATGTCCATGAATATTAAATAATGTTTTTACAAATAATGCCAGTAATAGTATAATTAAAATTGGCGGCCATTTTTTTCCCCGATTTTTAAATCCAATTATTTTTCGACTCAATTTTGTTTGCTAAATCGTGCTAGAAATACCCTGCTTTAAAATAAGAATGTTGTATCAATGTTTTCTTAAATGCATAAAAATATTTTTGTTTTTACTGTAAATGTCCTGTGAAAGTTTTTAATATATGTCTGGATTCCCACGACGTTAGACAAGCGTTTCCGGTTTCGTGGATTTTTTTAGCTTATTTTTCCCAACAACATCAGTTGGAATATTGTCGAAATGTGTAGTGGAATATTGTCGAAATGTGTAGTAGAATATTTTGCTTCGTTTAAACTTTGCATTATCAAAGTATAAAATGTCGAATCCTTCTAAGAACATTTAACATTTTCCAGAAATTCGGGCTATTCTGAGAATTAGCTTCCTTTTTTTTTAAATTAAAGAAAATTAAACATTTCTCACCTGAATCTTCAAAAGTAAAAATTTTGATGGTTTTGAAAATTTTCCCCTTACCGTCGATCTGATATATTTTGAGAAATTTATAACAATGGGCCCCAAATTTGAGGTGGCCACCCCTTGACCACCCTGACGGACAGGATGGCCGTCAGGGTGGTCAAGGCGTGGCCACGGTACTGATAGATCGATCGAGAGACAGATGATTTATCTTGCGCGTAAAAGATACCTATAATTCGTTTGATAATAGATTTTTAATGGACCTTTTTATTCTTTAAATTTCAGTTATGTTTCAGCTGCAATTGGTCTGTGTTGGTCTCGTTAGAATAAAAAGTATCGCAACGGGTAGATATTTGGCCATGCAGAAAAACGGAAAACTCCGTGGTCATGTAAGTATATTAATCAATTGCATTAACTGAACTATCAAAGACTCAGTCTGCGTGGATCTCAAGTCTGCATGAATCAGTGACTTATATCATAGTTTGGGCCAAAAATTAAACCTGCATGGGAGTACAACCTGGAGACAAAAATTTCCTGCAGACCAACGGAGTATTTTTGTGCTAAATCTGCATGTGCGTAAACATATAGTGTTCTAGCTGACCATGGTTTTAAATTCAAGAAATAATGTCTGTCAACCATATGTTGTTGGGCCCATAGTGGGGCATGGGGTGTTAAGGTTTCCTTCAAATTTTCAATAGCAAATCTTCATTCCGAATTAAATTTCCTGCGGCTGTTTAACATTTCCTGCGAGCAGTGCTCGCGTACTCGCTTATTTTTTCCATCCCTAACCATGAATGTGATCAGTTGGCACCGATAGTCAATGGCGGATTCTGAAGTAGCCTACGGTGTAGACCCCAGCAGAAACACGTTCGCCTGGGGTGTACACCGTAGGCTAATTCTGAAGAGGTTTAAGGACGAAACTAGTAAGCTGCCAATTTATATTTAACGAGTGTCGAAAGAGATTTTTAGAACTTTTAGTATTTGAAACGTTTAGCATTTTAACATTTTATATTACGCTTTTTAAGTGATGCAATAGAATAAGAAGGCAGTATGGAACTCGATGCCGACATAAATAATAGACCTCCATTGACTCATTATCTATGTTTTTGTCTTGGGTTATGTAAGAAACGGTCGGTTCATCGTCTCGTGTGTATTGTATTTTTCAGGCCATAGAGCAACGAATAACAGTGTGTTGGTTAAACTTGAAACATAGCTATTGGTTGCTCTAGCGAAAATGCAATACAACGAACCGATAAAAATGAACCGAAAATACAATACGATGAACCGACCATTTTTTGCATAAACATAGATAATGAGGTCTGTTATATGCGTGTACCAAATTTGTTTAAACTGACGATGGATTTCTATAAGTTCGAATAATAAAATAATTTTAAAATTTGCATGGAATGACCTATTGCTATGGTTATAGAGCGTTTGCACTCATTCCCCAGGGATCAACTCGCTACAAAAGCCATGGCGGCCATTTTGGATGTCCAGACAAAAGAGTCTAATTAAAATTATTTTGAATTGGAACACCAGCATGGCGGCTGTGACGTCATGTGCAAACGCTCTTTTGGTTACGGCTCATTCAACGCAATTTGTACGGTTAAATTAACCCAGAATTTTTTATCCTTTATCCCATTAGAAACATCGCTCGTTTGAAACATTATTTATCACAAAAGAAGTGGATTCATATCATTGGTACAAGTCGTACAAATATAAAAAGTTTGTCGCCATTCGTAAAAACGGCACCCAGAAACCTGCACGTCAAACGGCGGTAGATCAAAAAGCCGTGCTGTTTCTTAACTACTGATGTATGTCGATGTCCAGCGAATCAACTCGTCTCGAGTCTTCGTGCGTGAGGAGTATAAAGGGATAGTATTGTACCTTCATGTACCATGGTGTACCAGTGTGGATAAAGGTAATGAAATGCCAATCTTATCCCAGAAGCGTTTTAACCCAAAAGCGTCTTTAAAGTTTCGAAACGGAAGTTCTTGGCTGTGTTTAAAGAACTTTCGTGTAACTTATTAAGTACTAAATAGGACAGTGTGTGTGATTATTCGTGTTATTTGAAGTTCAACTTCCAGTTTGGACAGTTTTACCACAACAGTGGACGGTGGTACATACTGTGAAGATTTTAACGAACTGCGTTATATATAAATGATTACGTCATGGGGGCGCGCCTTTGTGCGCTTTATTCATAAATGGTAGTTATGTGCGCATATGGGCGCATTATATGCAAATCTCGAGAATGGAGCGAAAAGACGCATTACTCTACTGAAAAACTCAATTTCCGCGCGAAACATTTTATACGCGCGCTTGTTATGCATATCGTTTATGAACTCCGTGAGTTCGCTTGCGTTGCCGCGCGATATTTTAGCATCGCGTGTTAACTGACCTAGTCATAATGTAAGTAGTAAATTTGGTAATTAGGCGTTTTGCTTGTGTGTGTGCTTGTTTTCGGACACGCAAAATCGTTTTAACGCACAGACTTACCCTCCGATTTTAATTTCACGTCAACATGGGCCCTTTTGGACTTTGGCAAATAAAACCAATGCTATAAAACTTCCTTTTCAAATTATAAGGCTAAAGTCCGTTTTCCAATCTTCACTATAGTTTCGGTTAAAAAGACTTGAGATTGAAAATTTCATACAATGGAAAACGGGCTTAATACGCCCAGGAAATCAATACTGAACATGCCCTTTTAACTACACTGGCTAGAAACTGACATATGATGTTAATTGACTATAGGCGGGTACACATCAAAGTTTTTGTACTGATTCACAGTAGCAATTTTGCATAGGTAAATTCTAAGTTTTTGAAGGATTTGTAAAGCCGTGTTTACACTACGAGCCTAAGCCTGGCCTAAGCTAGGCCTAGCTTTGAACTAGATTTTTGTAGTGTAAGACGCACTTCGGGTTGGCCTAGGCCAAGAAATCTAGGCCACCTGTTCTGATGGGCCCAGATTTCTTGGCCTAGACCAGACCGAAGTGCGTTTACACTACAAAAATCTAGTCCAAAAATAGGCCCAGGCCAGGCTTAGGCTCGTAGTGTAAACACGGCTTAAGAAATGTTTGAGGGAACTGAATGGGTGTTTAACAGTTTAACAGTTCCCTCAAGTATTTCTCACAAATCCTTCAAAACGTAGAATTTATATCTATGCAAAATTCCTACTGTGATAACAGAAACTTTGGTAGTGTAAACCATACCGCCTTGTCACTTAAGAATTCTTGGGGCAATCTATTTTTTACCACACAGACATAGAAAAGACATTCTGCTAGTAATGATTGGCACACTAACGCCCGTATTCTAAAAGCTCACTCACACTCAATGAGTGGAGGTTCAATCTGAGCTTCTCTTGGGTGTCAATGCTGTTTTTGAATAGCTGGAGGGTGAGTAGTCACATAGTAAGGTACGACACTAACCCTCCAGCTATTCAAAAACAGCATTGACACTCAACAGAAGCTTAGATTGAACCTCCACTCATTGAGTGTGAGTGAGCTTTTAGAATACGGATGTAAGAATAATTTACAATTGGTTTACGTGCATGGTTTTGGAAGACAACAATTTTGAACTAGCCCATAGCCTGCACGCCGTCTCGTGACATCGTTGCAAACGTCTGTCATGGGATTGCGCACAGGCTAGTAAGCCCATGCAGTGTAACATTCCTCTAAAATCTTGAGACTCTTTGAGAGGCTAGGAGCAAACTAAGACGCATTCAAATTGTTGCAAAGACATTCTTTCCTTGCCATGTTTCATAAAGGTGGACACTGAACCGTATAGGATAGATTGTTTCCGTAACAAAAACACACTTGGAACACATTTAATATATAGTTGAAAAACATTTTCGCTTGCAGGGTAACCCTAAGGACCTTTGCTATATGAATTCTTCATTAGAAACAAATCGCCATCAAATTCTGTCCAATTTAGTACAAAGTTTATAAAAAAAGAAATCATAATTCACATATTCGGCTAATCTGTCGTTTCCCAAAGTATTTTGTATAAAAAAGTAATTTATTGACGTCTCGGTAAATTGAGATGTATATCTATAAATAATATATATATTAGTATATTCTATATTTATTTCTATGCATAGGTGATGACACTGCGATATAATAGAGGGGTCAGATTTAACTTCTACTACCACTACCTTAGCTCACACGCTTAAAACCCCCGACGAGGAGCACTCGAGTTTTCCTTGACAAGTTTACCTTCTCGTGTGTACAGTCAACAAGTTTTCCTTGAGAAGTTTACCTTCTCGTGTGTACAGTCAACAAGTTTTCCTTGACAAGTTTACTTTCTCGTGAGTACAGTCAACAAGTTTTCGGAACTTATCAGGGAAAACAGTAGTTTCCCTGATAAGTTTTCCCTTGACAAATTTTGTTGCTCATGTACATGCACGGAATATTGTTACAGGTAAACTACGTGAAGCGTTCCTCTTTTAAGTTCCTAACTTGATTTCAATTTTCCTCACTACCTTAGTAAATTTGAAAAACTCCCTTGCAAATCCCTTGAGGGAATTTGCAATGTTCTTACGAGCCAAATAAATTTTCCTCAGTTCCTGTTAGAAGTTCTTAACTTCCTGTTACAAGTTCCTAACTTTCTGTTCTGTTCTGTTCTGTTCTGTTCTGTTCTGTTCTGTTCTGTTCTGTTCTGTTCTGCACGTTGTAATTGGCTAACAAAAATAATCCGCCAATGATAACGCTCAGAACAGAACAGAACAGGAAGTCAGGAAATTAAAACAGTTAGGGAAATTTGAAAAGAACTTTCTTTGTGTTGGAATATTGCAACGGCCGACAGGAAAATTGCAAATTCCCTCAAAGATTTGCAAAGAGTTTTTCAAATTTGCAAAGCTAATTATGAAAATTCCAAATGAATTAGGAACTCAAAAGAGGAACTCTTCACGTAGTTTTACCTGTAAACGCACCCCTTAAACATTTATCTCACGTGAAGGCAGCCTTTTTTTGTTTGCCAAAACCATGGAAGTATTTCTTGGACACTTGTCAAGTTTTCCTTGGAGGTCGTACACACAAGCAAATTTTTCTTGTCCAAAATCTGGCATTACTAGCTTTGAAACAAGGCTCCAATTGGCAAGGAAAAATTGTCAAATTTTTTACCGTACACACACGAGCGAATAAAACTTGTCAAGAAACACGGGGCGTAATACGCATTTGATTGGTTACTTGGGTAGATTGAATGCATCTGATTGGTTAATTGATTAGATTGAATGCATCTGATTCGTTAATGGTAGTGGTAGTCAAAATCTGAACTCTCTTGTCGGCATAAGTAGAGGTAAATAATGAACTGTAAATAGTATAGAGTGTAGTTATATTTACACCAAGATATTTAATGTTATATTGAAGTTAAGGTATATGAAAAATTAAACTATGCCTTTATCATGCAATTTTGTTTGTTTTTCCTTCATCTCGATCTAGTGCTCTTCATTTCTAAGTTTGTGTCTCGGAAATTGAAGGCCATAGACCTGTAGGGCCTTCAATTTCCGACTTATCCTAATACGAAAGCTGGTGTTTTCGTATTAGGATGAACGTTTTTGCTTCAAAATTAAACCAGAAGTGTCCCATGCATGTTGAGTGATGTGAATTTTAAATTGTTCGTTTTTGGCGTCTACTGGAATAGTAGTCAGGCAGGGTTCGTAGCGGTCTTTGAAATCCTTGAAAGTCTTTAAATTTGAATGCAGGTCTTTAAGGTCTTTGAAAAGTCTTTGAATTGTGTGAAAAAGCGAAAAAGTCTTTAAAAGTATTTAAATTCTGCAGTGAGGAATTGATTATACGATTTCCCAGCCACAGTAATAGAATAGATTGATTGATGCAAGATTTTCGCAAATATCGACGAAAAGGAGCATTTTTATAAAATAGGCCTACAAAACAACAGTAACTCCAAATAACATTTTGTAGCTTTAATGAATCTACGTTTCGACTATATTTTAGTCATCATCAGGACAGATTAATCTGTCCTGATGATGACTAAAATATAGTCGAAACGTAGATTCATTAGGGACCGGTTATTATTTATGGCGGGGGGTGGCACCGAAGAGAAAATGGTTGGGTAAACTAAATTTTGAGTAAGTAAAAGGTTGGGTAAATGAAAAACAAAACAACTCAAGGGTTGGGTAATAAAAAGTTATAGTCATATGTCAATACAATAAGTGAATCAATCAGTCACTGTCTTGATCATTTTCCAATTTGTTAGAAGACAAATGTGTTTCCAAAGAAAGCACATGTGCAGACAACATGATACATTAGACTACAGCAAATTTCACAAGCAGTTATCTAACTCCTGTCACAGAAATCGGGTAAAGGACATATGTGACAACTGAATGGTAACCTTTTGTAAAGTTTAATTTTAGCCAGGGGTGGGTATTTATTTTTTACTTGATATTTGAGGTTGGGTAATCAAATTTTTGACTTTTTAATGGTTGGGTCAGCAAAATTTTTGCCACGAAAAACATTTCTCTTCGGTGCCACCCCCCACCATAAATAATGACCGGTCCCTTAAAGCTACAAAATGTTATTTGGAGTTACTGTCGTTTTGTATTTTATAAAAATACTCAGTGGTTCCCGTAACAATAGGAGCATTTTAGGCAGTTGATTTGACGGGACTTAGATGATGGAGATAGATAGTGTATTTAAAATTCACCTTGCAGCTGGACAGCTGAATTGCGTGATTTACAAGAGTATATAAAACATTATTTAAAAGATAGAATATGGGTTAATTAGGCATATTTACAAATGGTCATTAAAACGCTTAGTACTAAAAATTACATTAACTTAAGTTACTAGACATAGGAATAAAAGTTTTTTAAATCTTTCTGTATTAGTTTCGAATCGTTCAAACAGTCTATTGTTCCTAAGTTGGTAAACCGACTCATGTTTGGGAGGCAGTAAATTATGCAGTTTGTGTGTCGGATTGTTAATAATATTTGTGAAAAGTTTGTTACACATTTCTTCGCGTCTTTGGAACAAAGTTTGAAGATTGAAATATTCTAAAATTTCGCTATATGAGTTCGCGGGTAAAATGATCTTCAGTGCTCGCTTTTGTACCGTCTCAAGATCTTCTGAGTGCGGTGCTTATACTCGTAATTTTTCGACAGCTGATTGCTCTCAAAGGTATTTGAAAAGTCTTTGAAAATAGACAGAAAAAATCTTTGAAAGTCTTTGAATTTTTTTGGTCTTGGAGACTACGAACCCTGAGTCGCCACATGCTGTTGACAAGAAGTTTAGATATATGACATATATGTATGCAGTGGACGGTTCACTTCGCCTGCGAACAGGCTCTTTGGTTAGGTTAAAGCCCGCGCATGTATGAAAGTTTCCGAACTGTTTACGATAAATGGTTTTATCATTCATCATTACTGTAAGCATTCTTTTTATTTTGATCCAGTAGACGCATGAGTAGACGCCATGTACGCTACAGCGTACCTATTTTTAGGTTTGCCTCAGTTGAGCAGCGATAACCAAATATTATTTGTAGTTGCCTGTGTGATGTTACTCTGAGTGTATATCCACACCGGGCAGGCTTGAAAAATATGCCTGGCCACGGTGGGAATCGAACTCCTACGACCTTTGGAATACCAGCCCAAAAGTCGTAGGTTCGATTCCCACCGTGGCCAGGCATATTTTCCAAGCCTGCCCGGTGTGGATGTTTCCTCCACTCCTCCCTTTCTTAGTTTCTTACTCGTTGATATCTCGGACAGTGTTCGTTAGCTTTTCGGGAAATACAAGTCTACGGTAATTCAAGGCAGCGGAGTATATTAATTGTTGAAATTCATATTTTGGTTTTATATTCGATAACTTTGATGAATAAATATGTATTTTTAATGCACACATTGGGATTCTACAATGAAATATACTAGAATTAACAAGGTAAGATGGTGTTTGTCTTGTTTTACTAGATAAACTCGACTCCTCTTATTAAAGGGCACGTTCGTTAAGGGCATAAATGATGACTCAAGAAGGGCATGTCTTCTTGGTGACTCAAGAAGGGCACGTTCGCTTGAAAAAAGGGCACATTGTACATTGTGGTGTTTTTAAAAAAGTGGGGGGCCCAGTGCTTCCCTATTCCGCGGCCTTTGGCAACAACGAAGGTGAGTTCTGTGCTTGATTTACACAGTACAGCTCAAGTTGTAAGCAGGTTGCATGCGACAGTTTTAGGCAAAAGTTGTGTACTTGTGTGGTGTAAATCGGCCTTAAATATCCCTACTCCATTCACTAATGCCCCAAGACGTCCCCTTGGTGTGCCTTGGGACTGCGATGTAAACCTAAAATGAAGTATCTCTAATCAATGCGAAATAAATCGCAGGCGCAAGAAACGGCTCTGCACATTTTCAGATTTTGAATACAGTTAATTTGTCAAAATTGTTCTTCAAATATTTTTTTCACAAAAAATATAAATTTATTTAAATATTTTGTGCTACGATCCCACGAAGACGTTATGCGTGAAAGTTATACACAAAATCCTGTAGTATTTTATCGGAATAGATATCGCATTTTTATTTATATGACTTCATTTGTGACTGTATAAAACCTGTCGTGTACAAGTATGTATAAAAATAGCTGGACAGTATGTTTATTGTTTACATTTTAAATAGTTTAGAGTTTAAACTAGTTTAAAAGGCCAAAGGATCGTTTGTTCCCTGCTCTTTTTATCAAGGACAATCCAAATCATGGATGCAATGGACAATAGTTATTTATGGATAGTTATAATTGGTTTTATCATCGCCTTCATATTGGCGTTGGGTCTGGGCGCGAATGATGTGGCTAACTCGTTCGGTACATCGGTTGGATCTAAAGTCCTAACTCTGAGGGATGCCTGTATCGTGGCCGCAATATGTGAGACTTCTGGGGCTGTCTTGGCTGGAGGAAAAGTAACAGGTTGTTATTTAGGGGGTCGGGAGAAATCAGGTTTATATAATATACTGGCACACCGGTAATCCGACAAATATTAAGGCCCATTACCTCTGTCCTCCGCAGAGGTTTCTGTTCGATATGGTATAAAGCGCCATGTAAAGCTCACTGAAACCTCTGCAGAGGAGAGAGGCCCATTACCACTCAGGAAAATTTTCCGCAGAAAGAAAATTTTGTAAAATGTGTTTGGCCGACACAAATTTTCCTTCTGTCCGTGGAAAATTTTCCTGAGTGGAAATCTGTCTTAAGACCTGTTTACATGGCGATTTTTCCTGCGATTTTAGTTATGATTTTCTTCTTTTGAAGGATGTGAAGGAGTAGATTACTTAATGATGTTGTTATGAGATTTCATAACTTGGAACATTTATAACTCATTCACTCTTTCATATCCTCCAAAAGGAGAAAATTGCAACTAAAATTGCAGCAAAAATCGCCTGTGTGAATGAGCCTTTAAGGGTTTTTCAAAATGGGTTTTTCAGTCTTCCCAAAATTGGGAAATCCAAGGCCGACTAATTGCATTTTTCGCAACTGCTTTGAACGACACCTCACCAATATCCACGTATAAAATTATTTTCAGATACTATACGAAGCAAAATAGTTGACACGAATTGTTTTCAAAATGACACAGAAAATGAAGTGCTTTTGGGGTCTTTAAGTGCATTATCAGGTGGAGCATTGTGGCTGATTATAGCAACTGCGGCAAAACTGCCTGTGTCGTCGACGCACAGTGTTGTCGGAGCGATGATGGGGTTTGGTTTGGTCGCATATGGTGGCAAGGCCATTAAGTGGAAAGAATTTGGGAAAATAGGTATGATTTATTTTATGACTACTATAGATATAGCTAGTTGGTTATCATGTAAAGCACAAGTGTGTGTATGTGTCGTACCGGATACTACTTTGCCAGATAATGTATGGTACCGGATTGTAGTCCACCAGATAACTGGATACCGGATACTGATGGTGGTACTCGGACAATATGTGATAGTGTTGGATCACTTGGATGTCTCTATTTTGCCATTAGCTCATGATTTGACTGGAATTTATTACTTGCAGTAGTTTGAAAACTTGGTTTACGCTCGGTTTAATTGTCATCATATTTTCTTATGTAGTGGCGTCGTGGGTGATATCTCCTCTTATGGCTGGAGTCATCAGCTCATGTTTTTATCTAGCATTACAATATTTTGTTCTCAAAAAGGTATGTAGGGTGTCTAGCACCCCTTTGAAAAAAAACTCTGGTATTCCATATTTGAGTTGTGAACACTACTTATTATATTGAAATGATTGAATTTCGAATATGCGAGCAAATATTCAAGCACCAATGTGGCGGGTCACCATATAATATAACATGATAGCACTTTTCTTAATTTTTGCCTGAAATACAAGTACTGTGAGGACAAATTTAACAAATAAACGTATAGTGCTCAGAATGCAGGAAATTCCATTTCAGGGCTTCAAACTTCAAATTTTCCGGGGGAAGAATGCCCCCGAGCCCTGTAGTAATGCTCCCCCTCTGGAAAACCTCCACCCCCTCCAACAAATCAGGCCAGATCTGTCCCTGGAAAGCAAGGCTGTATAGTCAAGGATTTGTACCTTCCAGAAGTCTGTATTCACAGTTTCCTTGCTTTCAACAGAGAATGTATAAATCTTGAATATGTGTATATTTGTTTTTCTAGCCTGATTCGTATAGTGCTGGTTTGACTGCCTTGCCAATTATCTACTTCATAGTTATATCTGTCAATCTCTTTGCTATATTTTATAATGGTTCAGAAAGTAAGTATCTGACATTAAAGTATATGCTTTTCAGATAGTTGTATCTGTCACAATTATCTGCAGATATCTTATTATCTTAGTATCAATAAAGGCCCGTACAGACAAGTAGTTTTGGGGCTGACTTTTTATGTAATATGATTCCATATGTGATTAAAAAAAATTTCATTCTATTTTAGTGCTTCGTTTCAATACGATTCCCCTGTATGGTTGTTTCATATTGAGTTTTGGTACGGGACTTCTTGTGGCTCTTGTTACATACTTTGTGTTTGTACCTCACTTGACGAAGAAAATTGATAAAGAGTTTGAACTCGAAACTTTGGATTCTGAATTGATTGACGAAAAGAATCCTCAGAAAGGTAACCCGTCCGTGTTTACGAGGATTGACAGCAGGCGTTGAAATAAGTAGGTGCCAGCAGGGCTTTCAAAATAAGTCGGTCCATACCTCATTAATGATCTGCCCCCTGCATGACCTATGTGCCTAACCCACCCTATCAACTTTCCCTGCGGGAGGAGACCGGAGTACCAGTGGCGTAACGTTATATCAGGGGGCCCTGGTTAAAAATTTTCGAAGGCCCCCCCCCCCCTAGTAGAAGTGCCAAAGGCACGAGTCGAGCGCCGTATATGCACAAGTTTTCTAGGGGGTCCAGGGCATGCTCATCCGGAAAATTTTTGAATCTAGACTCTCTGAAATGCCATTTCCTGGACTTTGGGGAGAGATTTTACAGAATTCTGATGGTCAGAAAACGACATTGTAACATATCAGAGTCCCTGGCCAATGTTTTTGCTCTATCGCCTAAGCCTGGGGGCCCCCATTTGGCTCATTGGGGTTGGGGGCCCCCGGGTTCTCCCGGTCTGAGCCCATGGTAGTTACGCCACTGCGGAGTACCCGGAGGAACTCTCTTCACATGAGGACTGGGTTCGAGTTGCATTAAGAACGTTCTCACTGAGGCTTGAACCTGCGGCCTCAGAGGTGAAAGGCAAGTGTGCTAACCACTTGGCCACCTGGGATTCTGCCGCATACAAGTGACAGAATGAACTTTCACTATCTTCATAGATAAGGCAGTTAAGGAAGAAACGAAGTTGCTAGACAATGCCAACGATGGCGATTCAAAAACCAAGAAATATAGCGAAGGAATAATTAATGAAACTACACCAGATGCAGACGAGGAGAAATCACCATCACAACCCAAGCAACATGAAGTACTCACAGACGAACCAAAGACTGCTAGACTGTTGGCATTTGTTCAAATTTTAACCGCCTCATTTGCCTCTTTTGCTCATGGTAGCAATGATGTTAGGTTTGTTTGGTCATTAACTCATTATTGCTAGACTATATAAGAATGATGATTTTGGGAGCTTAGTTTGAAGCTCCGTATGGCAGCAAGATTTGGGGTCAATTTCCATATTAAAAACCTGAATCTAATTACAGTCCAAAAAAACTATCAAAGTTTCTGTGATCACAGTAGGAATTTTAAGTTTTGAAGGATTTGTATAAGAAATGTTTGAAGGAACTGACTGATTGTTTAACATTGTATAAATCTCAAAGGATTGATTGCAAATCATCAGTGGTCCTTTTGCAATTTTATTCATCCACTTCTTCTTGACAACATTTGTTGTTTTCTACTGTATAGCAATGCGGTTGGGCCTCTGGTATCTCTCTGGTTAACATACAGAGATGGTGTAGTTAACTCGAACTCAAATACTCCTATATGGATCTTGTTCTATGGAGGTGTTGGTATATCTGTCGGACTTTGGATCTGGGGAAGGAGAGTGATAGAAACTATAGGAGAGGAGCTGTCTTCTATTACACCGTCAAGGTAAGGAGACAGATGCAGAACGCGATAATTTGCGCCCTACGCACCAAAGGTAGCATGGCCGGATTTTGAGGGGAGGTGTGGGGAAATTTGACATCGTTTTGCACCTCCCCTGAGAATTTTTGCACCTCCCCTGAAAAGTCATGCATCTCCCCTTGGGAAAGTTTCAATAGATCAAAGTGAAAATTTGACATTTTTTTGTTGCTTAGGGTGTACACTTCGTAAGAAAGTTTTTCTGTAAAATTGAAAGTGATAGCCATTCATCTCTGTATCAATTAGTACCCTTTTAATACAATGTTTTGAAAGAAACTTTGCAATGAAGGGCAAAGTTGGATGAGTTGTACAGTCATAATTCATTAATACACTGATACATATGATAGATAGATGATAGATAGATGTTTTATTAAAACTACTTTGCAGCTGAAGCTGAATTGCGTAGATGTTTACGTAATATGTACAAGAATGGTGTAGGTTATATAAATATTTACAATTGGTGACAGGATACAAGGTGCAAATGACATTATTTACTATTTAACATATGTGGTATAAAAGTGTTCTTGAAACGCTTAGTACGTGCTAAAAGAGAACCAAAGGAACGTTTGTGTCTCAGATTATGGCAGCGTTTACACTGTACCGTTTTCGTAGCGTTCTCGTATTGTTCGAGAGAACTAGACTATTGTCTTGCGTTCCCTTGAGGATTAAAAACAATACGAGAACGCTACGAAAACGGTACAATGTAAACGCTGCCTATATGTCTGCTTCTTCATGCATACGTCACGTCGTTGACTTTGGCCCTTTCTAAGCCCCAACTTTCTATGGGGGGTCGTGAGCTAGATTAATACATATTATATAGTCATTGTCACTGTTTATTAGTTTGATTTTTTGTTATTGTCGATTTTTCAAAACGCTGTTCCCAAGTTCGTTGCGAACTTGCCAATTAACTTGAATGAATTACTGCAGAATTGAATTACTGCAGAAATACTGAATAAAAGCGCATTCGATGCACATACTACCCCTATATTTAAGAAGCTTGGCTTATTAAAGCTGAATGATATTTGTATGCTACAACTTGGTCAATTCATGTTTCATCATAAATCTTCTCTTTTACCTGAACGATTTGACAACATGTTTTTAAAAAATGATCAAACTCACACTTTTAATACAAGAAACTCCTCCAAGTATCATGTACCTTCATGTAGGACAAATATCAGACAATTTTCGGTGCGCTTTCAAGGTCCAAAATTTTTTAACTCTCTTCCTCATGATCTGGTTGACATTGTGTCCTCTATTTTATTTAAAAAAAGACTAAAACAGTATTTATGTTCAATTTATTAATAATTATGATGTAAAGTATTAGTCTGCAAGCTGAAGCACGTCTGCATTTCATAATTTATTAGGCCTAATTGTGTTTTTTATATATATGGTGTACATTTAAAGGGAGCCTAAATTTATATAAGCCTTGTGGTTTCGTTTTGGGCTTCCTTGTCACCAACATGTTAAATTTCTAATTTTTTGTATATTTGTTGTGTTGTAATCTTTATGTAATGTGGTGCTAAATCAAATAAAAATTCAAATTAAATTAAAAAACTTCTCAAGTTCGGAAATTGGGCGTGAACTTCGCAATAAAGTTCGCAAGTTCATTTCAAAGTTCGAACTTTGCTTGTAAACAAATGTTCATAGTTGGAGTTGAAATTACTGTATAAGGCTCTATGCACATATTACTACAGTAAAATATTGGTCCAGTGGTCTCCCAAGACGAAAAATGCCTTTTTAAATAAATTTATAAATGAAATTTTTACATTTGTTTACAATCGAAGTTCGAACTTTAAAATGAACTTGCGAACTTCGTTGCGAAGTTCCCGCCAAACGTCCGAATTTGGAAACGTAATTGGCAAGTTGACAACAAACTTGGGAACCGCGCTTTGAAAATTAATATGAAATCGACAATAAAACTGCCGTCAAAATGCGAGTTACGGGCCTGTCTTCAGCCAATCAAAACCGAGACTGTGCTGTATACGTAATGCTTAGCAATAATGCTTAATAATAATGTATTTTATTTTTAGTGGTTTGATCATAGAATTTGGCAGCGTGTGTACAGTCCTTGTAGCTTCAAATCTCGGGATTCCAATAAGCACGACTCATTGTTTGGTTGGAGCTGTCATTTTAGTGGGTCTGGTGAGATCCAGACATGTTACAGAATGGAAAGTATTCTTCAATATTCTCATTGCTTGGCTGGTTACTGTACCCGTCTCAGGTAATGTATGCATTGTGTAACGCCCTGGGCAATTTTCCTGCCAATATTTCGCCATGTTTCCCAGAGTGGGCAAACACTAGGAAACATTAGTGAGAAACATAGGGAAACATCATTGGTTTCTGAATTTGCTAGGAAACATTTTTGCTTCCCGGGAAGCAAATTTTGTTTCCGCAACAATATTTCCACGGGTGGGCAAACAGGGAAACATTTGAGGAAATATCGAGAATCACAAATGTTTCCACAACAATGTTTCCTAGTTTGCCCAGCGCTTATGACTTATAATTAAGTTCTGTTTGGAGTAACTTAGTGGCTGATTACATGGAGAGTTTCAGCCCTGGCTGAGTTTCATTTTTTTTTCATCAATTTTTTTTTTTTTTTTTTAATCCAGGTCTGTTGTCTGCTGGGATATTTGCATTGTTGCGTTATGCACTTTGAGTATATATCCATGACGAAGAACGGTAAACAACGATGTTCTGTCATCGAAAAATAAATATATTTTTGTATACTGTAGCATGCAGCACATTAAATATTAATTTATTATGTAGAAACTGGAATAATTTCAGAATTATGATCATTACGTTAATGTTTAAACGTTGTAAATGCAATGTGAAATGCAGATTTAGAAATACATGCATAAAGAAATGTTTTAAAGAAATTAAAATACTCATTAATAATTCTTATGAATTATTAATGAAAAATCATGTCAGCCATAATTAATATGTCACGTGGAGTGACTTTATTAATATATCTGATAAAGCATGCTGTGGCATTATATAATTGTTCATCCTAATTAGTATCAGGGTTCGTAGCGGTCTTTGAAATCCTTGAACGAAAGTCTTTAAATTTGAATACAGGTCTTTAAGGTCTTTGAAAAGTCTTTGAATTGTGTGAAAAAGCTAACAAAGTCTTTAAAAGTCTTTAAATTCTTTAGTGATTATTTGATTATACGATTTCCTAGCTAATAAAATAGATTGATTGAAGCAAGATTTTCGCAAATATCGACGAAAAAGTGCAGTTTAGGATGTGATTTGACGCGACTAATTACTTAGTAAAAATGGTGCTTACACTCGCAATTTTTCGACACCTGATTGCTCTCAAAGGTCTTTGAAAAGTCTTTGACAATAGGCAGAAAAAATCTTTGAAAGTCTTGAATTTTTTTGGTCTTGGAGACTACTAACCCTGTAGTATGATTATATAATCAAGATTTTTTCTGTTTTTGTGTAATGTACTCAGGTGAATAAGATGCTTGTGATGTTACTCTGAGTGTATATCCACACGGGCAAGCTTGAAAAATATGCCTGACCACGGTGGGAATCGAATCTACGACCTTTGGAATACTAGCCCAATGCTCTGCCAACTGAGCTACGCGGTCTGGTCGGTTCGAGTATGTGATATTTCGGAACAGAATCTAAGTTCCTTCGATATCAATGTAATCTAATAATCATGATTTTTTCTGTGTTGGTGTAATGTACTCAGGTGAATATGAGTATAGTAGTATTCCAAAGGTCGTAGGTTCGATTCCCACCGTGGTCAGACTACTCAGGCATATTTTTCAAGCTTGCCCGGTGTGGATATACACTCAGAGTAACATCACAAGCATGATTATATAATGTTTCATCCTAATTAGTATTCTTTTGTAGTCGTATTCAAAACACTCGTTGTCATGTTTTATCAGACATAATTTATATCTGATAAAAGTTCATAAAACACTCCTACTCGTGTTTTCAATAGTATACTTAGCCGGCGATAAACTTCGTAGCTAAGACCTTTCGTCGGGAATACAGTATAGCAAATTGTCTGATGACAATTTTGCCTCAGATTCTCAGTCACACTTTGTGAGAAGAGTGTTTTCGGTTTGATTCTACTAAACATCGCATACAACTCTGGTTTCCAACTGTAGTAACACTACTAAAGCCTGCATGGTATACTATCAAAGTTTCTATGGTCACAGTAGGAATTTTGCAAAGGTAAATTCTAAGTTTTGAAGGATTTGTAAGAAATGTTTGAGGACACTGACTTGGTGTTTAACACCGAGCTAGTTCCCTCAAACATTTCTTACGAATTTCTCAAAACATAGAATTTTATACCGATGCAAAATTCTTACTGTGATCACAGAAACTTTCATAGTGTAAATCAGCCTGAAAGAATAAAGGAATACCGAATGGTTTTCCGTGTTGGATTGCGTGATCCATGCACGAGGGATGTCGCGAGACTTTCGGAAAGCGTAAAAATACTCGAGCCGCAGGCGAGTGTATTTTTACGCTTTCCGAAAGTCGAGCAACGTCACAAGTTCATGGATCACGCTATCCTGCTTGGAAAACCATTTGGTAATTGTTTTAGAAAATAACTACAGTGAAACAATGACATTTTGAGAATCCCGCGAAAATCCCGCGAAGGCATTTTAATTCCTCGTGCAGGATAGCCTGATCCTGCACGGCTATTGACCAATCAAATTGCGTGTTTCACTGTAGTTATTATATAATACACTTCACTGAACCTCTAGGAAAAACAGTTAAGAACCGCGAACGAGATGCAAGAAATCTTCTAGTTCTAGTCATGGTTGAACAGTTTGCATGAGGATGCAACTTAACGTCGTCAATTTTGCATCTCGCTATCTGCAGAGCTTTGGCAAAAATGGACGCCAGAATTAAAATTTCCATGCTCAAATAGTCTATACCCAAAATTTCACGTTATTTAGACATGCAGTTATGTCGCGAGTTACGACGCTTTGAGTATTCAGTTTTTGAATAATTATTCAGTTTAAAAAATTTTCCCCTGCGCTGCAGTGACAAATTCCAGTCGGATGATACGAAAAACCAAATTTTCATAGCTTTATAACTCGCGACTTAATTGTTCAAACTACGTGAAACTTTGAGAATACACTCATTTGAGAAGGGAAATTTTAATTCTGGCGTCTGTTTTCGCAAATACTAAGCTGAAAAATTGATATCGCCGACGGAGAATATTAAAAAATTCATTAGTCATATTGTGTGTGTCTACTGGACCAAAACGTATACGTTAGTTACAGCACAGTTTGGTTTGCATTTTAAGTACAGCCAAGGCATTTTTAGTGACAAGTCAAGCAAAATGGTTCCCAACAGTAAGTATCTATGACCATAGCTGAAAGCTAGATTCTTAACAAGAGATCAAAAAGTTAGTCAATATTGGCTGCTCTGATTATGAACAAAAGTTAGAACGGGCAAGTAAATTTCAAAGGACAAACCAGAACATGGTTTCCACGGGCAGTTATTTATGGTTGGTTATAATTGGATTTATCATCGCCTTTATATTGGCTTTGGGTCTTGGCGCGAATGATGTGGCTAACTCATTTGGTACCTCTGTTGCATCTAAAGTCCTAACTCTGAGAAATGCTTGTGTCTTGGCTTCGATATGTGAAACTGCTGGGGCTGTTTTGGCTGGAGGAAAAGTAACAGGTTTTTATATACCTAATCTTATAATATGTCACACGTAGAAACGCACAAGTTGTTGCAGGTCTGCAAACAAGTTGTTACAAATCTGTTCACAAGCTGTCGACAAGTTGTGTTCGCACTGCTTGTTCCCAGTTGTTGTAACACGTTTGGAACAAGCTGTTAACAACTTGTAACAAGCTTGATGGCATTATCAGATTTGTTACAACTTACAAGGTTGTTCTAAGTTCTAACAATTGCAAGTCTGATACAGTCATGATTTAAGGTGGCTCGTTATAGTTATCACAAAAACCCTGCTCAAGAATCACGAACAAAACCGGGTGACCATTTTTACGCGCAGGTCGCGGAAACTGATTAACGAAATGAAAGATCTTCCAAAATGACTTGACGTGAGCAGTTGCTCGCGCCATCTCACGTCATTGCGCGTGTTCTATAGCGAGCCACCTTAACAAGAATGTTACAAGGTTGTATCAATATTGTTATCATATTCCAACCTTGTTACTATAACTGGTATTCTTCTAAATACTATAAAATTATTTCCAGATGCAATACGCAGCAAAATAGTTGATATTGATTATTTTCAAAATGGCACGGAAAGTGACGTGCTTGTGGGATCATTCAGTGCTCTATGTGGTGGAGCATTGTGGTTGATTATATCAACAGCAGCAAAGCTTCCCGTGTCGTCCACACATAGTGTGGTCGGAGCAATGATGGGGTTTGGTTTGGTCGCAACTGGAGGCAAGGCCATTAATTGGAAGGAATTTGGATTAATAGGTACAGTACATGTATAGCTTGTGGAGAGGGGGGGGGGGGGCAGTGCTGTCTATTGGGAAATGAAGAGTTGGTTTCAGCTTTTGCATAGCTGTTTTAACACTTAAAAACGCACAAGTTGTAACAAACCTGCAACAGACTTGTAGGAATGCTGTTCCAACAACTTGTCAACAGGATGTGTTCGCACTGCTTGTTTCCAGCTTGTTGACAAGCTGTCAACGGCTTGTTGACAACTTGCTACCGGGTTGTTGAGCTCAACAGACTTATTACAAGTTGTTCCAACAACTAGTTCCAACAACTTGAATCGACCTGCAATTCATCAATTTGTCAACAAGTTGTGAGCGACAACTTTGTAGCGACTTGATAAAATAACAGCATTGTTACAACTTGTTGACAAGCTTGCTACAAGCCTGTTGTGAACAAATATAATAACAGCATTGTTACAACTTGTTGACAAGCTTGCTACTGTCATGCTACAAGCCTGTTGCGAACACATCTTGTTGACAAGTTGTGAGTGACAACCTCGTAGCAACTTGATAAAATAACAGCATTGTTACAACTTGTTGACAAGCTTGCTACAAGCCTGTTGCGAACACATCTTGTTGGCAAGTTGTGAGATTTAAGCTGTCCTTGATAAATTTGCCAAGAATAATTTTTACATATTTTCTTATGTAGTGGCATCATGGGTTCTATTTCCTATTATGGCTGGAGTTATCAGCTCGTGTTTTTATCTGGCTTTGCAATTTTTTGTTCTCAAAAAGGTAAGTGGGCGCATGTTTTGGCAGCTTTCAGAACTTATAGGTGTGGGGAAGAGGGGGGGGGGGGTAAGTAAGGGACTGACCCAACTGCCCCACACATTAATTCAAAATAATTTGCTGTTCTCTCATCAGAGTTTTTGTACTAAATACACGTGTCCACTTATTTTTCTAGCCTGACTCGTATAGTGCTGGTTTGACTGCCTTACCAATCATCTACTTCATAGTTATATCAATCAATCTCTTTGCTGTATTTTATAATGGTTCAGAAAGTAAGTGTCGCATAATAAATATACATATATATGCGACATTTCTCTATTACGTGTTGTCGTCGCTAATATATGTAACTGCCATTATAATTTTGACGTTGTAGATTGGAGTTTAAAAAAAACTTTCATTTCATTTCATTTCAGTTCTTCGCTTTAATACGATTCCATTGTATGGTTGTTTGATATTGAGTTTTGGTACGGGACTTCTCGTGGCTCTTGTTACATACTTCGTGTTTGTTCCTTGCTTGAGGAAGAAAATTGATAAAGAATTTGAACTTGAAACTTTAGATTCTGAATTTGTTGATGACAAGAATGTACAGAAAGGTAAGCTGTTGTGTGCACATGCAAAAATCTCACATCTTAATTGTATAGCAAGTCTGCCAATAAGCCGTCAACAAGTTGTGTTCGCACTGCATGTCCCAAGTTGTCTAGTGGAACAAGCTGTTTAACAACTTGTAACAATCTTGTTGATATTATCAGACTTGTTGCAAGGTTGTTCCAACAAGTCCGATACAGTCATGACATAACAATACTGTTATAGCCTTGTGTCGTCAACCTTGTAACATTCTTGTTATATCATGACTGTACCAGACTTGTTAGAGCAACCTTGTAACAAGTCTGATAATGCCATCAAGCTTGTTACAATTTGTTAACAGCTTGTTCCAAACTTGTTACAACAACTGGGAACAAGCAGTGCGAATACAACTTGTCGACAGCTTGTGAACAGATTTGTAACAACTTGTTTGCAGACCTGTAACAACTTGTGCGTTTTTACGTATGTGCACGCGTAAAAGTCTCACAAATTGTCAGCAACAAGTCTGGATTGAAAAAGTTGTTATCATCTTGTAACAAGGTTGATGAATACGACAAACTCGCAACAAGTTGTTCCAACAAGTCTGATAGCGTCTGCACGTAACAAGTTGTTAACAAGTTGATGACAACAAGCTCGTAGCAATTTGTTACGAACAGCCTGTATTAGTCTTGTTGGAACAACGTGGAGCAAGTTGTTACCGTCAAGTCCGTCAGCAACCTTGTAACAAGGTGATAACAATCTGTTCCAGACTTGTCAACAACAACTGGGAACAAGCAGTGCGAACACATCTTGATGTCGGCTTGACATTAACAACCTTCATCCTTTATAGATAATGAAGTTAAGGAGAAAACGAAGTTGCTAGACGAGGCCAACAATGGCGATTCAAAAAACAAGAAATATAGCGAAGGAATAATTAACGAAACTGTATCAGATGCAGACGAGGAGAAATCACCATCACAACCCAAGCAACATCAAGTACTTACAGACGAACCAAAGACTGCTAGATTGTTGGCATTTGTTCAAATTTTAACCGCCTCGTTTGCCTCTTTTGCTCATGGTAGCAATGATGTTAGGTTAGTTAAGATATGTTTTTCAGGTAGTTTAAACACAAACCACGACAGCTTATTGTAGAATACTACCTACACTGGACCACCACGTTTGTGATATCTTTTTCAGGTAGTTCAGACACAAACCACGACATCTTATTGTAGAATACTACCCACACTGGACCACCACGTTTGAGATATCTGTTTCAAGTTGTTCAGACACAATTAAACCACGACAGCAGACAGCTTATTGTAGAATACTACCTACACTGGACCACCACGTTTGAGATATCTTTTCAGGTAGTTCAGACACAAACCACGGCGGCGTATGGTAATAGAACTGACTACCTGGCTCCCACGTTTGAGATATTACCAATGAAATTGTATATCTTAATATTTCTTCTATTTTAGCAATGCTGTTGGACCTCTTGACTCGGTCTGGTTAACATATAAACATGATTTAATTGACTCGGACATAAATACACCAGCATGGATCTTGTTTTATGGAGGTGTTGGTATATCTGTTGGGCTTTGGATCTGGGGAAGGAGAGTGATAGAAACCGTAGGACAAGATCTGTCTTCCATTACACCGTCAAGGTAAGAAGAGAAGCACTACACAATCCGGCGAACGTCAGAGCAAACGTCTTTCTCCTCTGAGAGCGTGCGTTCGATTCCCGCTACGGACTTATGATACTTTGTGAAGAGTCCGTCAACGCTATACCGAAAATCGTAACTAGTTTTCTCTGAGATAAGCACCCAAACTTCCACTACAATTACCGTGACCTCGATCTCACAGGCCTAATACGAATTTGATTGGTTAATTGGGTAGAATAAATCCATCTAATTGGTTGTAATGTAGCTGTTGTGGAAGTAAAAATCTGAACTGCGAATTATCGCACCCAGGGGCCGCAGAACCTGAGGCATTGGGGGCATTCCCCCCCCCCCCCCCCACAAGTGAAAAACGTGCCCTTTCTTCTGGGCTAAAGTGCCCCATTTAAAGAACAAAAAAAGGATTTCTTGAATGAACGCCTTCTTTTGCTGGAAAGAAAGTGCCCTTTTTTTGCAGTAGTAAAGACTCTGTAAAGGCCATTTCCGACGTTATATAGACTCCATATTTTCAAAAAGTTTCGTTCGGCTCGTGAACGACATAAAATCATTTGATTTTGATCATTTACAAAAGTGCCCATTTTGGCTATTAAATGCCCCTCCACTTTCGAAATGCTTCCGCGGCCTCTGATCGTATACTCTGAGAAATCTAACCCACAACACAGCTAATATTGCACCTATATTTTAGGAATTAACATTTGTTGTATTTTTAGTGGTTTAATAATTCAATTTGGCAGCGTGTGTACAGTGCTGGTAGCTTCAAACCTCGGGATTCCAATAAGCACGACTCATTGTCTGGTCGCAGCTGTCGTTTTAGTAGATTTTGTGAGATCCAATCATGTTACAGAATGGAAAGTATTTTTCAATATTCTCATTGCTTGGCTGGTTACTGTACCCGTCTCAGGTAATATTGGAAGTGCGGTAAAAGGGAGTGGGGGGTCGGAGGGGGGGTTGAGATTTTGTTTGGCCCTGTCAGTTGCTTTTCTTATATTAATTAACAATGTTTGTTTACTGTTTTTAATACAGGTCTGTTGTCTGCTGGGATATATGCATTGTTGCGTTATGCAATTTGAGTGTCCACGACCGGATACGGTGAACAGCTGTGAAGAGAGAGTTAGAGTTGCCACCATTGGTTCATTTTCGTAATTATTGAATCGTTATCAACGTACAATCGATTAATATCGATTCATCGCATTGTATAAATTACGTCAACTGTGCTGAATGTCGCTTCCAAGAAAGGGGGCATCGGTTTTAAACGAGTCATTTGAATGGCTTAGTGTCAGGAAATTTTCCACAAATGTAATTGAGGCTGATTGGAGAAGAGTCGATTATAATGACCTATTATAATTACTATGTAATTACACATACGGACGCAGTAAATGGCTTGTGAAACGTCATGATGAGAGCATTCTTATTCTTCAACAGTTTAAAATAAATGAATGATATTTGGTGAGAAAATTGAACTTAAAGTTTATGTAAATCAGCATGATTTTGTATCAGATATACAATGATACGAACTCCTTCAGGGTCATGATTTCGTTTGTGTTTTCGTCATGAGTTTCACAATATAATTTAAATATGTGTATAGCGTCTGCAAAAGACGCAAGTTAAATCAAACTGTTGCCGTTGCGTCATGGAAATAAAGTAAGATCAGTCGGTAATAATTTTCGTGAAAAAATTTAAAGGCAGGAAGACTTCCAATTCAAAGAAAAAAAGCAGATATTGGCAATGGATTTGAATATTGAATATCTATAATTCTTAGGATTGGCGTGCAATTTTGAGATAAAATTGCAGCCTATAAAATTATAGTCAATGAAATTGATTTTTTGTCGGTTAAAACTGCTCTCAGAATGCAGGAAATAGCGCTTCAGAGCCTTTAATAGAAGACTGATCACTATTTTTTTTTTGGGGGGGGGGACAATGCCACCACAGCCCTCTATAGGTTTCTTGCACCTCGACACGGTAAATAGGGTCCTGAACACTACCCTGGCCCAGAGGTTTTTTTAGGTCAGGCGAAAATAAATACCCTCTGGCTCCAGGGTATCCGTGCATGTGACCAACAAACTTTGTCAAGGGAAACTTGTCAAGGAAAACTTATTGACCGTACATACGAGAAGGTAAACTTGTCAAGGAAATCAACAACGCCCTGTAACCCTTATGTAACCCTGCTGTAACTTGCGATGTAACATTTGTGACGTAATCACGTTGCGCAACAACAACTCGTTCCCATGCTCTTCTGTGGACGCGCAGTTTTAAAATTCACGAAGACCAAAAAAGTTGTAGAAGTCTGAATTTCAACTTTGAACTGTCTTCAAAAAATAAAATATTTCCAAGTAAATTTTAACTTTAAGAGAAGATATGCTGGCTTCATTTAGAGCAGCAACTGGTCTTTCAAAATTCACGGTAAACTGTGCTTGTTTTGTTTTGCTTGAGTTATAATGTAATACTTTTAATATATAGTCTTGTATTATTTAATATATCAATCGACATTTTATTTCTTTACACGTGTTTCTGCTATAGTTTGGTGCAAGAAATAGCTTTAGGAACTCTCTTCCAAGCGTTAGCAGAGGAATTCATTATGGTTTTAGTGGAGTTTGGTCAAATAATACAGCAAAATCGGAGGTAGGGGAAAGCTTTATGCAGTTCGTGAGGTCGTGCACGATCATAATAACACTTGTTTTTTTTATCAAAAAATATGTAGTAAAGATGTGTCATAATTGTATAATTTTATATTTGGGCCTGTTAAAGATGCAGTTTTATACAGTTGCAACATTGATCGAAGGTGTGCTTATTTGAAGTAGGTGGGTGAGATTGGGGTTGGGTGGGGTGGGGGTTGGCCATTGGGTGGGGGTAGGGGGAACAGATTTGCTATATACGGGATGTGCTGTGTTATTTTATGCACCTGTCAATGTTATGCCTGAAAGAAAGGGAATGGGCAGACCCAGGGGGATTTGACATTTTTGATTCAGTGAGCATCACATTTTCCCATGCCTCACAAGACTTTCATCTTGTGGGAGGCGGCAAAAGGCCCCTCTTTCGTGAGCCACTACTAAAGAACTTAAGCAAGTGACATTTTTGACGACACGGACGCTAACTACCAGGTGATCTCGTGTTCGTACTTTAGACAATCAGCGCTCAGAAAGGGTTGTCCGAATAGAAATCCATTTTGATGTATTCAATCAATTATATCTTTCATTATTCTTTATGAAACTAGTTGAAATTTTGTAATTATGTTTGGTTATGAGAACTATAGCTCTGACAAAAATATGGAATCGAAATAAAGTATATTACAGGAGATATTCAGTTGTTTTAATCATAAAATGGATTTCTATTTGACAACTAGTGCCAGTACTTTTCCGCGTATCAAGATCACCTGGTAGAAGTCAATCGAGCCGTTATAGATGGCAAGTGATAGCGACAGCCATTCTTGTTTGAAATCAAGAACTCAATGCATTTCTACATTTGTGATTTCAAACGACTATTGCCATCACCAGCCAATCACAAACCAGTCTTTGTAATTCACCTTGACACTTGACAATTGCCACAGCAGGGATTTCCTCTGGGGGGAGCATGGATCTTTTCTGGAACAAACCAATGTTGTTACCTGCCTCGGCGAAAAAATCCCCAATGATGCAGAGGGAAAAATGGGCCAATTATGAGGGTTGCAAACTCTATCTTTCCCCTTTCTTTCAGTTTTCAAAAGAGTACCCAGTGATAGATCACTCGTACGACTGTATTGTTGTCGGTGCTGGTGGCGCTGGACTTAGAGCTGCATTTGGTTTGGCAAATGGAGGATTTAAGACTGCTTGTATTACAAAACTGTTTCCTACCAGATCACACACTGTTGCTGCTCAGGTAAATATTACACATTACACTGTGATGAAACTTTTGAAGTATGAAGTGTCAACTATTTCTTGACTGACTCTTCACCCCAGGGAAAAATTTCTTTCTGTGACATACAATGTGACAGATTAGGGTGCAATTATTGAAGCTTGATAATCTGTAATTAACAAGAAACATATAGAGATATTACTGTATAGTAGTTGAACAATAAAACCTTCATTGTCCCTTGACAAACAATTACCATAAGTCCCCATCTGTGACCCCCTAGCCTGTGTCGCAGACTTCAAAATACATGTTTTAGCGGTGCAGGCTACCACCCTCAATGATTTAGCATTCTGTATATTTAGGGTGGAGTAAATGCTGCATTAGGCAATATGGAGCCAGATGACTGGAAATGGCATATGTAAGTTTGCTACTAACATAAAATGGGTCAATTTCTTCCAGGACACAGGGTGTATCACCCCCTGAAAATTAAATTCAGTGTTTTATGATTGACGGTTACCGTACCATATTTTCTCCAAATTAAGGTATGATACAGTGAAAGGCAGTGATTGGTTGGGAGATCAAGATGCCATTCATTATATGACCAAAGAAGCACCTGAAGCTGTCATTGAGGTACTGTTCATTTATGTCGTGCATATGATGAAAGGGAATCACAACGCATATTAAAATAGTTGAGAAAACAAAAAAATATAACGTTGGGAAAAACAAAATGTTTTTAATTAACAGATGTCTGGAAAAAATTACCATTGGCAAGGCACGATAACCTTTCACGTTTCTCATCTTAGGATAGAAGTTTTGTAAAACTAAAAGAGCCTGATCATTGAGTTGCTTCTGAATATTTTTGCAGCTTGAAAACTATGGAATGCCATTCAGTCGTACAGATGATGGTAAGATCTACCAACGTGCATTTGGTGGTCAGAGTTATGATTATGGTAAAGGTGGTCAAGCGCACAGGTGTTGCTGTGTGGCAGATAGAACTGGGCATTCTCTCTTGCACACATTATATGGTCAGGTAAAATAGTAAAGTCGGGTGTGTTTGGGGCGCAATGCGATTCGATGGATTAATTGATAATGTATCATTTTCTATATTAGTCTCTGAGGTACGACACTGATTATTTTGTGGAATATTTTGCATTGGATCTATTGATGGAACAAGGTCGCTGTGCCGGGGTTATTGCGCTGTGTTTGGAAGACGGATCCTTGCACAGATTTAATGCCAAGAACACAGTTATTGCTACTGGGTAAGAAAAACATGTCAAACAAAGTTCTATTTTATTAATAGTATGCCTACCATGTGCCCCCACCTCCTGTCCCCCACCTCCTGCTCCCACCTCTTGCCCCCCTCCTGTCCCCCCACTTCCTGTCCCCC